ATAAATATGTCACCCATACATATATTTATATTTGTTTGCTGTTTGTATAACGTATTTATTTTATTTAAACATCTGTTTATTTAATATAATGCTATTTATTATTCCAGGTTTCCAAAAGATCCGCATGTTAAAGATTAATGTATATACTTATCCTTAACGTTTTATTACATATATCCACTTTTTTCTAATTATAAAACGTCTAAAAGCTAAAGCTAAGACTAAAAGCGTCTATTACTGAGACACTTTCAGTTAATTAGATATATCTTGGTGTGAAACTCCTGGACGATCAACGACGCTTAGTAGAAAGTTATCGAAAAGTGCGTTGCGCTGCACTATGCCCAAGTGAGAGTGAACGCGCAATATCATTCTCTGTCTCTCGCACACATTAATTATTGGACCGAGTGGCTACGCCTCCTGAGGTTTTAGGTTTTTATAAAATATTCCCTAATGCAATAGTTTTATAGTTTAATCTTTGTTGCGTAAATGCTAGAGATAGCTGTAGGCGTAATTGTGTATTTATTGTTTGTCTATGTATGAAAGCTGCAAACCAGCGACATTATAGCGATATTAGGACAGTAGAAGGCATTTCTAGTGTCTTATTATTTAGATTTCTGTGGGACTTGCTGTAAGACGGTAAAGGCGACCAACAAATACACAATATACCTAATGGTAAAGTGGGTGCTGTAGTCGAAGGACACTCACATTGACCTTGACTGAGAGACTAAGACACTCACATTATCACCCTCGAGAACTAACATGGAATATCGTTAGAGTATTTATAAGCAAGCTTACTGAAAAGGATGGTCTTGCTCTTTATCTCACGTCCCTAAAAGTGATCAACCAGTTACTGGCCCCTATCCTATACCACACTGTAGTGTATGTGTAGTGTATGCTCACGTATACGAGCATATACGATAGACTAAGAGACATTCGGAGAGTATTAAATCTACAGGGCCGACTGACTGGACCATCCAGGGCTGACGGTAAAAATTCGAAGAATGTACAATTGTTTTTAGCAGTAATGACGTATCGGAGATTGACCTACTCTGTCACTGGTAGCATAAGCAGTAAGTTTGTGAGTAGTGTAGGGCGGCTCCAACTAGATGAAGCAATGACCAGGCAAGAACCCAGGATTTTACTATCATAGTAGGATGAAGGGGATGTTCAGGTGTTGAATTATTGATGTGCGATGTTGCTTAAAATTAATATTTTAACATCGCGTATTCTACAATAATATATGTTAGAAAATCATATACGAAAAACTTTAATCATAAGTTATTTTATTTATATCATCAATCCAAACTACAATGTTTTAATCTACAAAGTACATAAAGATATAGTCATTTTCGACTAGACCACACATTATTCTAAACCTTACTTTAACAGATTAAAATTCAAATTAGAAACTGTCGCATTACAGATAGATGTAATTTTAAATGGAATAAGATAAAATAATATGACATTTAATACAATTAGAAATATAAATAATAATATTCGTCGGATCAAAATAGGTTTTGAATGAATTAGTCTTGTAAGCCGAAATTTAATTATAAACACAACCTTGTTAAAATACCTTGATTTATAAAATAAAGTTTTTAATGGCAATGTATTGTGCAACTTATTGTATTATCAGCTCTCTATACTGTTAAGGACGTACAAAGATGATTTGGAAACAAACTATCATAAATCTACGAATTGGTTATAAAACTACCAATACAAATGTTACATACAATTGTCATATTTGTAGCAATTTTATATTTTAAAAGATATTCAAAACCATAATAGTAGACATAATCGTTACTTCTTATCATAACACAACTAAAATTTATATGTATTATGTATATTATAGTTAAATTAATTGTTTTAAATATAACATATCAATCATTTATCACTTCCAAACGACTAAATCGATACTTAGTCGAATCAAAATAGCTCCATGCGACTTTCACTATGATGTTCGAGCAAACAAATATTATTTTCATAAAATATTGTATATTATCAAATACTGTCATTTGCAGATTTACCTCATTTTATTCATTAAATTTTAACTGCATTTTTATTTTCTAATATATTTATAAGAATTTAACGCTAGGAAAGTAGAATTTATCGTAGAAATAGTAAAGACACATCAAAAATTTAGACTAAATGCAGTCTATTGTTGTCAGCCTAATTATAATTAGGTGTTAAATATAGTAAGTGTTAAACTCATGAATGTCATGACCAACTATGCAGCCCAAAGCGCGGATCAAAACGTGATTGATGAGTTCCCCATTTAATTTATAAGACCGGAGCAGCCCAGCGAACTCTGCTCCTTTTAAGTCTCTCAGAAATTAATACATAGAATAGAAATAGTTCAGGTGGTCTGTACCTGTGTTATTAAGACAAAATCAACATAATTTAATAAATATTTAATACATGTTTTGATTTTATTGTTCCACTTATTCTAAAAAAATTGGTAATTTAACTGATTAAATCTTACAACGTAACGCGATAAAGCAATATTATCAGCATAGTTAGATCATGACTAATAAAAGTAAAATATATACAAATAATACTTTATAAAATAATAAATTAGGTTTGGAAACTGTTGCCGCTGTACGGCAACAGTGGTAGTCCATAATAAAAAATATCACATAGTCACTAGTAAAAAACAAAGCTAAAATCATTTGTAATTAAAATTATAGGAATGCTTAAAATTATAAGAATTACATCCATTGTTATAAATCTTAATGCATCATCACTAGTTTGAGCAAAATAAATTTACTTCACTACAAATTGAATGAAACTTGCTTGAACGAATTAAAATTCGTTCAAGGAAACTTGTATACAATCCTACTTTATTCAAAATTAGTAATACATGGTCTGTTATAATGGTAATCAGACTATTATGATCTTTAATTCTCTGGGAATAAATTACTTTTAAAAAGCTTTTACTCAAGTGTTTTCAGTATATCAATGTTTACTCAAAATATAATCCTTTTTTGTTTGATAATTTCACATAAGTACATTTACATGATTATTACACACACGATCGCCTTACAAGTTAAAATGCGGATTCAAAGGTGCACATCTAGCACAGGAATTGCGTATGTAGTAATATTCTACAAAGAAAAGGAAAATATTATAAAATTACTATTTCTATCATTAACATTATCATTTCTACCACCTATTCCAATATAAAAATAGAGTATAAAAGTTTTATTTTCAATCAAAAATAAAGTATAAATAAATAAATTATCAACCCTAGAGCAACAGTAGCCTAATGGCAGGGTGCGGACCGCGAACTCAAATAGTCGTGGATTCGAATCCGCCATTCGGCTATTGTCGTGAACTACTCCTAACACGAACATTTTAAGCTTACCGGGAATGGTTAAAGAGAATATTAGTAATGTTAAAAGCATTGCTAGTATTTTCCATAAAAATAAACCTTCCTCTTGTAAGATGTAACGTCTGTCTAGTTTCTATTAAATGATCCTCTTTCAGTAACCGGGATCAACAAAAAAATTTAGAAAACATGAAATAAATAAATCTAACTTTCAATAAATAAATAGAAAACGTGAAATAATTTTATATGATAAATAAAAAAACATTAATTTAGACCCGCTAAAACTATTTACAATTATGTATTATTATAAATTAAAATAGATATTAGTCCAATCTTATACTCTCATCACAATTCTTAACATTTTGCCTTATACAGCATGGAGCACCATACGAGTTCGGACAGGTTTGTATTTCGTTAGGTCGTAACTGTTAGGTGACAACGGAGCATCAAAGGCGGTGCGTCAAAGGCGGCCGGTTCATTACTCTTACAGGAAATGTTAAAGTTAAAAAAAATCTATATTTCCTAACCTTAACTTTACGTGGGCAACTTTTAATAATCAGCATACATTTATTTATATAGAAAGTATACTTTAGTCAATGGGAGATTTTTTTTAATCATAATCTGTTTAAATATAACATAGATAGGCAGAACTCACAGATAGACTAACACAGATTATAATTGCATGTAATGTTTAAATATTAAGAATTTTTTTTTTGCATTATGACATTTTTAGACATGCTTCACAGTTCACACTTACCACTAGACATATCATTATAATATCATAATTAAGTTTTAATTTAAATTACTCACATTTAACTACTTCTAAATTAGATGACATGAAGTAATGTGTTATATAACCATAGCAAATATATTTTTGTATTAGCAGCCTCTGAACTTTAAAAGAACTGCCTTTTTAATATCTTTTTAGTTTTTTTTTATACAACACTAACACATAGCATGTTTCATTACATCATTAGAGATTCCTATACTCGTAGATTTCTTTTGATTTGAGAGAGAATAATTAGGCCGCTGTAAATGGGAAACAGCATCAAAATATTTAATGTAAAGAAAACAATCAACTCAAAAGATAAATATAAGATGGGTGTAATTAAGTATTAGTGGATATTTTCACAGCTGGCCCCTAATAGCAGGTAAGGTCAGTGAAATAGTCAACAAACCATGTCACTGCGCCAAAGCTTACATACAACCATTTTTTGTAAATATGATTCATTCTTCTTCTGGTTGCTTAAATTCTTACATATTTATCCTAAATAAAAATCACACCAAAATGATTATAATATAATCTCAAAGTAATGGAAACCCCCATTCCGATATACTATTGTATGTATATACAAGTGATTTAATATTGTAAATCACTTGATAAAATTATTACAACAAAAAATGACAATAAATAATCAATAGAGTATTTTTTTTACTCCAAAAATACTAAATAAATATTGATCTGCATCATAACAACAGACTTCATAACATATAATGCTCAACACAAACACTGCTGTGTATAAACTAGCATATGAATGCATTTAAGAAATACAAGCTCTTAGTGACTAGTACAAGTCCGTATACACACACAAGTGCAATTCGGAATAGGGGTGGAGTAAAATACAATATAGTAAACTCAATTATACTGAATAAATGATCTAATAATTTAAGATATTTAAACATGAGCTACTTCTTGTATATAATTATCATTGACTGCATTCTGAATTTTACAAACGGTGTCATCAAGAATGTTCCCATTTTTCTCTATTACAGTATCCTTCATGCTAATGATTGTATTCACGTTATTGTTCTCAAGAACGTTATCGCAATCGCATCCCATGAAGCCAGTGACACTGAGGGTCACCTTCTGTGGATCTTGCGCCTTTGCATCGACGAAGTTAACCAGAACTTGGGTTGGGGCATTCTGTTCTGGCTGCTTCTTCTTACGACGGCGTTGAGCAGCCTCATTAAAAGCTTGAACGCATGACAGCGGAGCCTTCACTCCATCAGAGGACGATGACGTTTGACGTTGGTACTGCTTGAAGTTCTTGCGCAGGCCGCAGCGGCATCCTTTTAATGCCTTCTCGCGCCTGTTGAATAAAAAAACACATATCGTTATGCTCGTCGAAAATTGAATGGTTTTAATAAAATGTTTAAAAATACACTCACTCCACGATTGCTTTCTCCCTTTGTTCTAATTGAAGGCGCACAGCGCATACCTCCATGTAAAGCTCATTCGCGCGATTAAGTTGTTGCTCGTACATATGGCGGGCTTGCTTCTCCTCTTCGCGGCGCTGGGTCGTATCTTGGGCCTGTGGCTGTTCACTCCTGATCAATGTATAAAACTCATGTTAAATCCACTTTATAATTGTTTGTTATGTACATTGGCGCATATAAGAAACAAGTGAACACTGGATGGGCAACTGGATGGAAAATTAAACTTTTATCTTGTATTTTATGCCCCACTTGTGATTTAAAATTATCTTATTAAATAAATCATTTGCCGTGATATAATTTTATTTTATATTTAATTGTATTCAAAAGGTTTCATTTTTCCGTATATGAACTGCACACGTTTTTTTCTCTTCTCATTGTTGACATTTCGCAAAAAAGTAAGTATGTAAATACAATCATGTTCGGTACAGTTAACTAAATAAACTACCTTTAGTATGTACAGTTTTATCTATGTATTCTACAAATAACATACTATTTTTATAGTGGATATGACCAAACTACAAACAATCTGTACAACTGACAGTCAGTAAAAAATCATTTTTTTATAGATGACGAACGAGCATACAGTCCAGACAGTGATGGTAAGTGGATGCTGTGGCCAGTAGACATTTACATTTAACCTCGATTAAAATTAGAATCAAAGTGCAGATCTGTTGTCACCCCTGAGGACTAAGATAGAATGCCTTGATTCGCATTAGGGGCATTAAGGGGAAATATTAACTCAAATGGCTTAGCAAGATCCTCCGTTATGCCGAAAATATTGCAGCATTAATTTTGAAATAAATGTATGGTAAAGTTGAGGATTAATTTTAAGCAGTATGTTAGACGAAAACACGATTCCGTAAAATTTTCTCTATGGACAAAAATCCAAAGTTACCTCCAAACTGAACAATAAACCGCTGTTATTCATAAAATACTTTAAATAAGATCATGAAACTTTGCATACCAACTGAATTAACTATAAAGCAGTGCTTATGTTATTTACTTTTTTTTTAATTCCATTATTTTCACTGTAAAAAGAAATTACCTAAACTATTGGCGTCTTGAAGCTTGATTCCTGCCGCCCGTTCAGTATCGCTTCGGCTTTTGAAGGGGGAAGTTATGTCGCTTACGATCAGAATACACATTACGCAACAGGACGACGTAAAATTAAAATGGGAAATAACCGTTATAAAAATAAGAAGCGACTGGGTTGGCGTTAAAAAACAGGCATAAATATGATAAATCTAATGAAATAAGTATCTAACGACCTATCTAATTACAGTATTATAGTCAACCAAATCTAAGAAATACATTTTGACAGCTGTCAGACTTATTGCACCAAGCATTCCAACTAAAAAGGAGATGTCGTACAATATTAGATTCTTACAAAAATCGACATCGATTATTTAGAGTTAATAATCATTTACAGTTTGATTTGAATAATACCAGAATAAATTAAAAAACGGATAATTTAAAACACAAGATGTATCAATTTCTTCGAATTTGTTGTTACTGCTTATTTCTAGAGGCACAGTTCAAAATTTTGGATTGAAACTAGATTAAAAATAAATATATTCAAACAATTTCAGTACAACTAGTTGAGTGTTGTTGTTTAGATTAATTACTATGTATTTGATTTTTAAATTCCATGTCTCTTTCAAAGTCATCCATAATCAATAACTTTATTTTTTATTTACCACTTTTGCCCAATCATCCTTTGTGACATAGGCACATGCTTCAACGAATATAAAAGAAACAGTTCAAAAAGTTAAAGCCGATTCACAAAATAAGAAGACAAACACAAAATTACGCACAGTAAGCTTTCGAAATGGCGAGACATTGAACTACGAAAGTAGTGGTTTTTTCAGCGCGGTCTTGTATATGAGTTTTTTTGCCTATACAAATTTACGTTAACAAAGTAAAAAATAGACTTGTTTTATTCACGATTCAAGGAATTATAAAAATAAAAATTTTATTAAACAAATAATACATTAAAAATGTATAATTCGATTATTTGAATATTTTTGTCGATTATTCGCATAACAACGAATTTTAATCATCCAAACACTACGATAAGGTACATAGCGACATATCATTAAAACGACGTCAAGTAAAAAAGTTGATATCGGTTATTCTTTTAATATTTCGCTTTGTTTGAAAGATTCGAATTTAAATTAATGATAAAAAACTATACACATTGTAATGAAATGTAGATCACTTCATAATTCTTCGGATTTACGTAAAAGCTTAATTTAAATCGTGTGAGTACGTTTGTCTAAAGTTATTGCGGAATGATTAATGTGAAACGTCAAAAGGTATTTCTTAGATTTGGTTGACTATAGTGATTACAAACATGTCGGTACATACGACGCGCGGGGAAGTGGGGGCGAAATTAGAATTTGAGGTAACTTACTATATCCCCTTAAGCTGCTATTCTGTGAGAGCGTGGTCCTTCCCCTATCGAGCCGATATATTCGTGCCACAACCATAATATAGATACAGCGTGTCTCTACCACGTATAAATGTCGTCCCGCTTAGGTATGAATAACGGAGATATTTGCTCAATATAGCCGACATTGGTCTATAGTCTTATTACTTGATGGAAAATCTTTACGCGTACTCTACATAGCAAAAGTGTACCTGGCATAAAACTTTTCCATGCAGCTCTTTACTTCCTTGCGCCAGGTGGCCTGAGTGACACTGAAGCAATCAACACGCATTGAACTTAGCTCTTCACCTGCAATTTCTAAGTGAGCGGAGATGATCTTAAATGGGGGCCTGTTAACAATAAAAAAACAATAAAATCCTTATCTACAAACTGGATTACCAACAAAAGTATGATTGAAAACTTACCTGTTCCGTGGCACACGATTCCAGCACTGATTAAGCAAGAGTTGGAGACTATCAGGGCAAGATGATGGGATAGGCAGAGATATAGTATCTGTGCCGACACCCCACATTACAGCGTGAGTCTCCAAATTCTTGTAGGGGACTTCCTGAGTGAGCAGTTCCCATAGAACAACGCCATATGACCAGACGTCAACGCGTTCTGAACATGGCTCGTGGCGAATCACTTCGGGGGGCCATCCAGGCTACAGTGCCTGTGAAGCTCATGATCGCACTCACGTCATTCCATTCGCGACTTGTCCCGAAGTCGCTTACTTTCACGACTAAATTGTCCGCAATGAGAACGCTGAAAACATTTTTTTATGAAATACCGACAAACTATATGAGTTGTATTATTGTATTTTCAAAAAGCCGATACTTCTATGCATTACTCATATCAAATTAATGAATTATGGATATTATACTATGTGGATTAAACGTTCTGAATCAAATGACCGCAAATTAAACATGAAAGTATTACTTTATGAGAACTAAACACACAATATTTCAAACTCACATATTGAAACTCCATCGCTGATTAGCTATAGTTATTCTATTTCACGATGAAGGTTTCGCCTTGATTGTATGAGTGACGTGTACCGATAGGCGCGTTAGTGTGTGCAAATAAGATTCGTTCGACTCGCGATCGTGACTGAGTGCTCCTGAGGCCTACGCACACTAACACAACGTGTATGTGCACAGCTAACAACAACCAAAGGCAAAACTTCACCGTGAATTAGAATAACTAGGATATCACTTCATAAATTTTATTTAGTAGGCACTAAGTTGCACTCATTTCCCCATAATTTTTGGTTCCAATTGACATACACCTAGTCAATAACATAGTCGCTTACAACATAATTAAAATAAATAACGCCATTATGTACATAACTTGTCGCCGGGGACATTTTATGCAATTGTAATTAATCAGTATTATGATAGTTACTTGTTATGTTTATTTTTAAATAGATGACTTTTCACATAGTAAATCTGTTATCCATCAGACTGTAACAAATATATATACTCATTCGCCAGTATGCAATGAATTTAAATAGTAATAAGATTTAGCAACCGTTCAGACTTACTTGTCGAGGGCTTTCGTCTGGTTGGGTTATTATTTATTTTACTATAATTTATGTATGATATTATATTCAACATAAATACCTAGAAGTATTCTATTTATATAAATTTATGCATCCTTCCAGACAAGAATACTTTTAATTATGTTATAAGTTAAAGTTACAACCTAAATACACGTCCCACTACTACGCACGGGGCTACTCTCATTTCTGGGAAGTTTTTGGGGTAAGGAAGTGTTTGCCGCGCTGCCCTAATGTGTGTTGTATGATATATACATAGTACCCGGTTGAGCTTTGCTCCGTATTTTTCGCTCGGTTTTTTTTTAATTCGTGTGTTTTGGAAAATTATATTTAGATACAAATTACATACTGATGAAATACGAATAATATTTTTTGATCGTAGCGACATAATAGAAAAAACTGAACTGGTTATTTGAATAAAAAATCATGAGTGCAATTACTTTAATTTAAATTTTCGAGTTCTTAAAAAATACTAAAAAAAAAGGGCACAAAAAATAGATTTTCTCAAAAAAGAAAGGAACTTGAAAAAAAAATTAAAAAAGTCGTTCGGTCGGTCTGGGTTCGAACCATGGTATTACAATTTTGTGACCGCCCTTTATATACCAATTAAGCTATGTGTAATCATTAATAAACCGTCAAAATTTACCTTCTTATTCTAACGATATGGTAGCAGTTTTTCATTGCCTAAAAACACGGACAAAAGACATTTTCTAAAAATAAATCCTAGCTAGATCGATTTATTACCCCCCGAAATTCCCCGCACACAAAACTTTATGAATATCGTTGGAGCCGTTTCCGAGATTCCGATTATATATATATATATATATTATTATATATATATATATACAAGAATTGGTCGTTTAAAGGTATAGGATAATTAATAAATAAGTCGTAAGGACGTGACGGCCCCATCGTCCATTGACATAACAGTTATGTGACGAAACTGCTACGTTTTTGCACTTTCAGTCAGTTAGCACCATGCAAAGACATGTTGGCACCGTACATCGGAAAATAGACGGGTCAAACGCCCGGTTGTGCTTATGGGTATGACCGCACCTTATAAAACGGTGCCATGTCGAAGCGTCTTACGTTAATTGTACGTCCAAAAAGTATGGATGATAAGAGTTCGTAAAGGCCACTGCCTGAAGATCGCCAGGACACGTCTGGAGATGGTGCCGGATGCGACAGAATACTACACGAAAGAGAAGTACAAAATGCTTCAGCACTATTAAGGGTCCCCTAGCATCCGTCATCCCCACCAGCTGACTTCGGATCTTCAGGGTTCTTGTTAACCCAGGAATCGACACCCGATATTAGTGGGGTATGCCACATGTGCTGGGCAATTGCAATGAAGAAGAACACATTGCGGTCGTACTAGGCTAGGGTGCGTAGCTTTTTTGTTAAGCTGGAGTCATCCATTACCGTCATGCCTTCATACGTATTTGATGACGCCGAACTACGTTTCACTTCTTATTGATTTATTTTATTTATTTTTTATTTTTTTTAATTTATTTAATAACAACCTTTTTTACATATGTTCATTGATTCCCTGGTCCCTGAGCTAGTGTAACTGTGTTTCAGGAACCAGTTCCTCCCCTTAAAGTTAGCCTTGTCAAAAGGTCAATTTCTATATAATAATAATAATTTAATTATTTAGTAAGTTAAACAAGTACAGAAATATAAATAAGAAATAAAAAGAATGTTATTTTAAGCGCTTGTTTTGTGTGTGTGTATGTATGTGTGTGTGTGTGTGTGTGTGTGTGTGTGTGTGTGTGTGTGTGTGTGTGTGTGTGTGTGTGGCGTGTGTGTATGTGTTCGTGTGTTGGTGTGTGTGTAAGTGTGTGAGTGGGTGCGTGTGTGCTTTGGAATATATGTGTATGAGTATTGCTTGTGGTAAACCTACGGCATAAGTGCTTCTGTGCTGTCATAATCAAGATTCTCTAACCACACTCTGATCCTTGCCTTTATTTGGTGGTTGCTGTAATTATTTAAGTTTGATATAAATTCCCTGTATAACTTATTGTACAAATGCGGGGCAATGTAACTATAGTGTCTTTTCGCAAAAATACTTCTTGTTCTGGGGGTCGGGTATTTGAATGTCCTTTTCTTTGCAATTTTGATACATGGTGCAGTTATACGATGGTACCTTCGTATGCATTGATAGATAAAAAGTTTTCTTACTCTAGTTGCTTAGTACTCGGGCTTTTTCATACACTAGTGTAGTTGGATAACGAAATGGAAGCAATAGCATTACTTTTAAAATACATCGTTAGGCACGTTCAGCTTCGACAAGAATTGTCTTACAAGCCCCGCCCCATGAACAGATACCGTAACATATTAAAGATTCACAGAGAGAGACTTCTTAAATTCGTAATAAAAAATACTGGGGTGTCTCTTATCGGGTTGGACCAAACCGAACACATTGTGCAAAAAAATCAGTTCATCAGGGACAAACAATGTGATACTTATATATATATACATATATATATATATATTTTATAAAGATTAAATTACTAGGTAATTTTAATTTTAGTACTTACTTGGGACTCTTCAAATCACGATGAATAATCTTGTGGCTATGGAGATAGCTCATACCATGAGCTATCTCTTTTGCCCACTTTAGAATTTGCTTTGGCGAAAAGCACACACCACTGTGGAGAAACTCAAACAGTGGTCCGTACTGACAGTACTCCATTATAATGCAGTAGTACGGTGCCTGGCTGCAGACGCCTCGGAAACGGACTGTTTATAAAATAAAAATAAAACAAAGTAAGCAAAGAACATTGGTAATTTACTTAAATTTTTGATAGTAGAAGAAATAAAATAAAAGCAATAGCCAAGCAGTAGAAAATATCTAAAAAACATAGCCTCAATTTTTATACGCAACATAATATCATCCAGTTGCCAATAGAAGTATAATATGCTTAGCAGTCAACGACTTCGTTGGTCAGATAGTCGTAGCGACTACTGGTCATTAGTTGCCGGGTTCGAATCTCCAAAAAAACCAGTTATAAAATTTTCTTGTAAAGAAATTATCAGTAGCAGCCCGTAGTAAGTAAATTTTCGGTATTTCACCCCGTGCCTCTGAAATAACGTAATGCCGTAGGTCCTGTGCCTGATCGATCAGATCATGAGTGTGAGGGAATAGAGCACCTGTGCTTGCACATACACCTCCGTTGATACTGGCCGCCGGGACAAAAATTCTGTCAGGAGGACATTTTATGCTTGGAGAGTGGATTTTAAACTAATATGTAAAAATGAATGTTTTTAGTATTTTAAGCACTGCCATATTGTTCATCAGATTGCGCTAAAACTTCGTCAAATTACTGCTTGCACTTGTGCTAAGGTTAGGCACAGTACGATTAGCTTACAGTATATGGCGCGCGCTACTGAAAAATTTATTTGAAAGTAATAATGAAAGTAATATAATATCATCCAAATTTAATTAAACAATATAAATGTTATAAATTTAAAACGATATTTCCACAATTATTTCTTCTGCGGCTGCAATGCGCCGGGTACATCAGCTATTAACGAAAAATAGGAAAAAAAAATATACAAAAATGTGCCACCGATAAAGTTGTTTTTTTTATGAATAAGGTAGTTGCTTAATTTTTTTCTATAATATACATTGTTCTTATGTAATTGTAAAGATATTAAAGCGATATTCTTATTTCACTCAATTCAATTGAGATTAATACATTTTCCAGTCCGATGAAATCTTTATTCTTTTCAGCTGATTTTATTACATGGGATATATATATATATATATATATATATATATATATATATATATATACATTTTTGTTTTCTACATTCATATAAATTTTTTCTTACTTTCTTCATATAAACTTCAAATATACCAAATCTTATACTCCTCCGTATTCAACATTTTGAAACAACCATAACATCCACTGGCACTTTATAAAATTGCGCATATTGATAAAACAAAGTTTGGTCGCCTACAATAATGTCTGCATTAATTTTGGTAATCATGTCACGGTACTATTCCATGCAGGCCTTATTTCTGAGCAACGCTTAAGCTGTGAAAGCTTCCCGATCCAATTTGCAATATGTACTGTATCTCGTCATACGTCATTCATCTGTAATATATTTCACTGCTAGCATGTTTGCTTTCGTAATAATCTTAAAAAGGTAACCACTTATTTCTACATCTCTCAAAGTTAGTCGATTATGCTGAAATTTGTTATACCAAATTTACATGGTTGCCTAAGAAGGTCTTTAATCCACAAATACCAATTGAAGCCTATCAAATGATTCGTCCGCTTTTAGGAAACATTTAAAATTGCAATAAATCATTACTCGTAAATGGTTTTGACGTGGATCCATTTTTCTATGAAATACGATAATTTAATTACACTCGAGAAAAAAAATGTGAAGGAACTCACAGATAAAATTCGCATAACTTTTTACATGTCTATACTCTGCTTTTCTAAATAAAAAATATTTGTTTATTAAAAAATATCCACATTTTCAGTTCTCATTTATCTTCTATACATATAATAAAAATGTAAATTGCAGATGTCTGTACATTTTATTTTATTTATATTGAGAGGGACTAAAAATAAGTTACTCAATACATTTATATCATTTTAAGAATTATCTGTCTGTCCGTCTGTTTGTTTGTTAACATATCATGTATAAAGTACTCATATTTTTATCAAAATAATCGTTGGGAAAATAGAGAAGCGTATCTTTCGTTCTTATATTAGTAATGATTAAATATTCTGAAGTATGGGTACAAACTATAGGTACGAATTTATTAAATGGTGGCGTTGAGTGATCAAGGACATTTTTGTAATTAAATAAAGTAAAATAGTGTTTTATACGTAATAAATATTTAAAAAAAATGTAAACCTTGATATCTTATTGAAAAAAATTCAATAGTTAACCAATGTCATCGATAGATGGTGTTGTGCAAATTGTTTATAAAATTTTAAATAAGTAGGTTTGCTTATAATTTTTTTCTTAACTGCCGAGTATCTATCTATAATATGGTAAATCAAATTTTAAAAGAGCTATTAACAATTTCTTTTGATTCGACGAGGATCATAGGAGCTTGGTAGTAGGCATGTTATACTTCTCTCTTGCAGTTCCAAAGTTTTAAAATTTACATTGTCATGTAATTGAAAAATTACGTTACCTGATTTTGAGTTTTTTTTTTAATATTATGTCTTCTTTTCTGAATATAATATAATTTTTATTTTACTGTAATAATAAATTAACTACTATAATTTAGGTTTAATTATAAGCGAGATATGAAAGATATGAAGAATCTAATTAATATAAAATATTACTAATGGTACAGAAATAAACATTATCCTTTACAATTTTCGAACAAACTTCCCTACTATGAAATCTGTCAAATAATACACCTCAACTTAAGTGGCGCCGCCCTGGTGGCAGAAAAAGTCGTGGATCACTTAAGTAAAATTACAGTCCATATAGGTCCTCCTTCTAGGGGCAGGCCCGTTATCGGTATGAGCTGTTACTCGAAAACCATTCTTCGCCCTTCAGCTTATGACTTTTTAATCTATATAGCATTGCAAAACGAAAACAAAATCAGTAGTAACATAATATATTATAATTATGTAACTATAATAACAGCATTTGCTAGTATTAACTAACTTGGCATCTAACATTACTTAATTGCCACATCTAAGACAACAATTCCGTCCTTTTTAACTTGAATCTTGCTAAAAATTATTACATCTAGTTAAAAAAATATATCTCAAGGTAATATAGAAGATAATATACCTAAATATATTAACATTCTCACTGATAATTCAAAGGAACAAATTAAAGGAAACTTATGACAATTGTAATTCTGCTACAATTATGGCCTATTTAAGTTCACTGCTGAACATAGGCCTCCCCTTAGATAGCCTGATATATTTTCCATAGTTGCCACTCCTGGCAAGTGGGTTGGCAACTGCATTTTATTTTTGGTCATTGTTAGGAAAATGCCCATCTCCTGATTTGTTTCCCTCTGTCACCTATTACGACACCCACGGGATGATATGGGATAATGTGATTCTTACACCCCCACTACATGGTTAATTCTGCTAGGCTTATGAATATTATGCATTCTCATAAAAAGTATGGTATCATTCTGTACATCTTGATGAAATATGTATTAGTTTTTACAAACCTATATTCTCATGATTTAATTTTCTCAAATGTTTGATATCCGTTTCCGTCTTGTCACGCAATTTTTTCACAGCAACCATCTCACCACGAAGGTTACCTCCAAATACTACTCCTTGAGCTCCAGATCCAAGATATACCAAGTCCGTAATTGAGTCAAATGAGACCTCCCATTCTTCCTCTGAAAGCATGTAGCTTTGAGACCCCTCAAAAGCACAAAAGCACAAAAGCAGACAATGAATGTAAGTAAATTTAAAAAAAAAGGAAATGTAAACCTAGTTGTCAACCTGTGTAAGCAAAAAAAAATGATTTTATACTATTTATGACAATTGTTGAAAGATCAAGATTAAAATTGTATGTTTACAATTTAAATTAATAATATTGACAAACAATTATGTATCAGTTATACTTGGTACCTGAGTGACCAAGCTTTACTCGACCTTAGAAAAAGAATAATTTTCTATGGGAATACACTTATCTAGAAAATCTTATAAAGTAAACCATTATGTAAGTACAAAATTTCATCCAATTCATTATAGCCCTTACTGAGAATCCAATTATACATAAAAATATACATATTAATTATATATATATGATGTATATACATATATAGTCAGATGAGGTAAGACTAACAAGTTTCCTACCAGATAGAAAAAAACGGTTTTTATGAAGAAATGCCATGTCCTACTTTTAAGGTATAAATTATACTAATACAACAATAAAATAAACTTTATATTCAAAATAGCAATACTGACGAAAATGTAAAACAGAAAGAACTGTTTAGTCTTCCCCCACCACCTAGGGTACAAACAACAGTAATGTTTTTACTTTAAAGCACATACTTTATGCAGTTTCTAAAGAAAAATCGTAAATGATAACAGTAGTTACTTATATTTTGCATATTATGTACAACATTAAAGGTTTCCCTTCTGAGTTATTTGTGTGAATATAAAAAAGGGGCAAGACTACCATACAATTAAAATCAGGAGTATCAAATATTTTTTTTGTATATGTAAATTATAGAATTTCAAATTTTTATTGCTCACTATTAAAATTTTGTTCTTTGTATTAATTTTCCTGTCTGTAATATTAAATCTCGTTTCACCCAATTTCATTTGCGTACTTTATGGAGACTACACATTGTAACCCACTTCCATTCCGCATCTTAAGCTATTGTGAATATGTTTTATTTGTAACTACTAATTAGGTACATAATTAGTGGCGCCGGATGCAAAAATTAGAACCACCCCATCTCTTCTTATGAGTTTCGTAAAAGGCGACTATGAGATTAACCTGAGGGAGAGGCTACAGAGTTTTCTAAGTTTTAAACAAACATACTGCAAAACGAAAGCAATCCCGAGGGGTTTAATGTAATCCAGGCGGCCATTTGTTGACTTAGCGAAACACTTTGAGCAACGTGGACATGGAATGGGTTTTGTGAAAGATTATATGGCTATAAATGGATAAATACAGAGCTGATCGGGATGTATTGAAGACAACACGCTGCGCCGATCCCTAATAAATTGGGTTGTCAGGAGTATTATAATAGCATGCAACCTGATTGACTTCAGGCACAGAGGTAAGAATAGGAAACGAATGAATAAATACATCATCATCATCATTACAGCCCTTCACAAGTCCACTGCTGAACATAGGCCTCCCACAAGTAACACCACAAAGCACGGTCCTGAGCCACCTGCATCCATCGACTTCCTGCATGTCTAACCAGGTCGTCACTCCATCTAGTGGGGGGTCGCCCTAACCTACGCCTATTCCGATGATATCCCGGATGTCAGTCTGAGCGAGATTAGAATGGCTCTCCACCACCTTAAAAACGGCAAGGCCCCGGGCGAGGATGGAATAACAGCGGAGCTTCTGAAAGCGGGTGGAACACCGGTACTTGAAGTCCTTCAGAAGCACTTCAATTCCGTCCTCCATGGTGGCACTACTCCGGAGGCGTGGAACAGAAACGCGGTGGTCTTGTTCTTTAAGAAAGGCGACAACGCTCTCTTGAAGAATTACAGACCGATTTCCCTTCTGAGCCGCATCTACGTGCTGTTTTCGAGAGTCATTACGAATCGTCTCGCACGCAGATTTGACGACTTCCAGCCTCCCGAACAAGCCGGTTTCCGAAAAGGCTTCAGTACCATAGACCACATACATACCCTGCAGCAGATTGTAAAGAAGACTGAAGAGTACAATCTGCCACTATGTGTATGTGGACTATGAGAAAGCCTTTGATTCCGTCGAAATTTGGGCGGTGCTACAGTCCCTTCAGCGGTGCCTAGTTGACTGTCGGTATATCGAAGTGCTGAAGTGTCTGTACAGTAGGGCTACGATGGCTATCCGAGTACAGAACCAGAGCTCGAAACTTATCCAACTGCAGAGAGGTGTAAGACAGGGTGACGTTATATCCCCGAAACTCTTCACCGCTGCATTGGAAGACGTTTTCAAGCTACTGGACTGGAAAGGATACGGTATTAACATCAATGGCGAGTACATCACTCACCTTCGATTTGCCGACGATATAGTCCTTATGGCAGAATCTCTGGAAGACTTAAGCACTATGCTCAATGACCTCAATAGTGCCTCCCAACAGATAGGTCTGGGAGCACTATGCTCGAAGTTGTTGACGAGTACGTTTACCTGGGACAAATAGTCCGACTAGGTAAGTCCAACTTCGACCGAGAGGTCAATCGACAGATTCAACTCGGCTGGGCAGCATTCGGGAAATTACGACATATCTTCTCGTCAGGTATACCTCAATCTCTAAAAACTAGATTGTACAACCAGTGCGTGTTGCCAGTGATGACTTACGGATCTGAGACGTGGTCCTTCACTGCTGGCCGTATGAGGACGCTCAAGGTCGCTCAGCGAGCTTTGGAGAGGGCTATGCTCGGAGTTTCTCTGCGTGATACTCAGAAATGAGGATATCCGCAGTAAAACCAGAGTGACCGACATAGCCCAACGGATTAGTAAGCTGAAGTGGCAATGGGCCGGCCAATAGCTCGAAGAACCGATAACCGATGGGGAAGAAAGGTTCTTGAGTCGCAGCCTCGTACCGGTAGGCGTAGTGTAGGGCGACCCCCCACTAGTTGGAGTGACGACCTGGTAAGATATGCAGGAAGTCGATGGATGCAGGTGGCTCAGGACCGTGCTTTGTGGCATTACTTGGGGGAGGCCTATGTTCAGCAGTGGACTTGTGAAGGGCTGTAATGATGATGATGATGAAGTGGCAATACATCACTTTGAGGGAAGCTATAATTCGAGAAGGTGCTGAAGACATATCTCCATCTTACTACAAGATCCAACAGGTGAAATTGCAGTGTTATCTGCCAAAACAATCAGTAATTGTAACAGAATCGTCAGCTAAGATAACACTTCAAGCATTGCCTGATGTCAATGTGAACAGGATCCTTAACAGATTGTCCAAAAATGTTACACTCAATTATATTTATCTACCTATGCATATTTTTCATTTAGATCCTCTTTGCTAACTAACTTGTGTTTATTTATATTCTTATTTTAATTATAATAATCATAAGAATAAAATAGTATTAAAATTGTATGCTATTTTATTCTTAGACTAGAAAAACATTTCTTTAAAAACACACTAAAAATAATAAAATAAAATCAAAATAATAATATAACTGTACCTCTGGGTGTACCAACACTATCTTAGCTAACAAACTATACTTTAAAAAAAAGCATATAAATATTTAATTCTAATAATTATTTAACCTAGACAAATATAAAAGCTCTACACAATAACTAAAATTTAACAGAAACATAATACTTTATGTAGATTTATAGTACATAAAATTGTAAGGGTTCACAAAATTATAGCAGTGCTCTTAGTTGCAGGCTAAAAGGGTTATTTCCAGTAAATGCATCCCCATATAGAGAGCACTCTATCTTATCACAGAGACTGCTAAATAACTCTCCTCTGACATATACCCTTCTCAATATTCCCGAGGCCAAAAATAGCACAAAATCAATACCTATATCAACTAGCACAATTAACCATTAAGTTATAAAATAATAATTTTATATAAACTACCACTTAAAAAAACAAAATTGTATGTTGATATAAACAATTCAGTGATGCATACACTCAATTAATTTTTTTGGTCAGCAAAATATAAAAATATCTATAGTACAGAAAATTTCAATATCAAGTTTCTAAAACAATTTTAACATTAATATATAACATTATTAGAAAAACACAAATATAGAAAATAACAAACTTTATTTGAATTTTAAAAACATCAAATAACAAAACAGGTCACCAATTATTTTTCTCTTTTCTTTAAAAAATGATTTTAAAATGAATTAAGTAATAGTAAATGGCATCTAATTCGTAGAAAAAGCGACTTTTTCTATACGTTCATAAAAACTTTGCATTCAAGGGCACATGTTTAAACATAAACATATTATATTCATGGTAGGTAAGTTAATTATAATCAAAAATCAATCAACCTGCGTCCTTGCAAACCTGCGTAGCGCATCGACCTTGAATATTTCCCGGGACCGGGAGGTGCATTCAATAACATACGCCACCCACTCGGGGTTGGAAATATTGAACAACAAACAAACAAAAAAAACTGTTTATTCAAGTCCTCACCTTTTTCATTTTTAAGATCATTGCGTCCAAATATAGACAATACCGTTGAGAAGCAATCCATTACGCCCCCAATCCAAAATAAATTTTTCTTAACATGTTCCAAGGCTGAACTTCCAAGGACTGGATTTTCGTCCTTGATGAAAACTGCATCATTTTCTTCAAGCATATTTCCTTCCATAATGGAAGTGAAATACGTATACTTCTTATTTATATTTGCCAAAATTTAATACATTGATCACGGAAAGTTTACGATCATTCAAAATGTAAATGGTCTCAAATTTAATTACAATAAATTTCTTCGGATTGAGTACCTCAACGCTCCAAAGGATAGAGACGTGACAGAGACTCATGGAGTAGAGTAATATATACAGAAATAGAGACTTCACTCCACCACAGACAATAAATAAATAGCATTTAACTTGAAGCATAGATAAATAAATATGTAGCAAGCTAGCTTGAAGCATAGATAAATAATTATTTAGCAAGCTAGCTTGAAGCTTCATAATGTGAATGATACTCACATTAGGCTTGGGCAGTATTACCATATGAAAATTGCATACTACCGTGGCAGCAGACTCAAATTACCATAGAATACTATAATACACAATAGAATGGCTGTCAATCTTATTTTGTACCGAGATTCAGCGTCACAGGGAGCACACATACATGCAATTACGTCGTATCAGTTAATCACTGCTACAAACCTGATTCGCTGTGTTGACAGACGGATTTTAATACACATTTATTTGTAGATATCGTGCAATTTGGCATTTTCTAAATAATTTGCATGCGAAATTTAGAAACAATTGTAACGTCAAAACACATCTCGTGTTGACTTAGTGGCTACACGGGCTCCACCCACACCCCCGTTCTATTATGTATGTATTATACTATTCTATGCAAATTACTGTGTTTTAAGTATAATTACCTTAGATCACCAACTATTAAGAAGTGTTACCACATGAGATTTGTTTTAAATTACTGTGTATATGGTGATATATCAATGATATGTCAGTGTAAAAAAGAACGTTTTTTATATTTTTATTAGAAATAAATTATTCTTTCAAAAGTTCCACTTGGTCATATACTAACGAAGTATTTAGCCGGAGTATTTCCCCCTTTCTTCGTAATCAGTCTATTTCTTTTCTTCATTTTGAAGTCATTTACTTGACTGAAGTCTCTTTTTGATTTTGTGTTGTTGTGTTTTGTTAAGAAGTCTCTTGTGGCCGTGGAAGGAACAGGGGAGATCTCCCGCCGGGCAAGGTGTTCCGCCCGATGAGCGGCCAACGCTCCGTGTGATAGTTCGGAGATTTTCTATATATACTGTTTATGATTCAGAATTTTGGTAGCGCGCTTTAGGCTTCGGTGTATTTCGCTTGCGGCACGATGATAGCGCCGCCACACTCTCACATGCAGCATTGTAGTAGGAAAAGGACAGAATGTTCAACATAAATGTGGGCAAAAATTTAAGTATGTTTTTTCCACTTTGGTCCTTCAGCTGAGCTATCTATTAAAGAAAGAGTCAATAAAAATAACTTAAAATAATTAAATAACATATTATACATACTCACCTTTGAAATTTTGTTTGAAATGATCGGCAAGAAAAGCAACTGGAAAAGCATTTTCATCAGCATCAGTCGTGTTTCAGAATTTTGCCCCTCATCTTACTACATCATATAAAACATGACGAAACTGTGCACACTGTGCCTTTTTAAGTTCATCAAGGGCATGCGCTAGACACTGCCTTAGTCCGACTAGGTAAATCCAACTTCGAACGAGAGGTCAATCGACGGATTCAAATCGGCGGGGCCGTGTTCGGGAAATTACGACACATCTTCTCGTCAGGTATACCTCAAACTCTGAAAATTAGATTGTACAACCAGTGCGTGTTGCCAGTGATGATGAGATCCGTATGATCTGAGATGTGGTCTTTCACTGCTAGCCGTATGATCAAAAATCGAAATATATTTATTTCATCAAAAAACTTATATCCATACAATATTCATTGTTGGAGCTGCCTAGTAAGCATATATATATATATATATATATATATATATATATATATATATATATATATATATATCTCGCGGCAGGCAGCTCCGCTCTTTCATGATGCTTACATACTATACATTGGATGTTTCGAGCTTCCTTAAATCTAGAATTTAAATTTACAAAAAAAAAACTATTGTTATAAATCATAATTCTTAAGATAGGGAACTAGAGCTGAAAACATTTTAAATTAAGTTTTATAATATTTAAGAACACAGGTAATATGAAAGAGATAATATAACATAAATATAATTACAACTGTTGCATAGACCAACGGCTGTAAAATACATATCTTACATCCACTAATTCACACTGAGAGAAGATCTTCTGTGTCAGTATAACTTAGTGGCTGCAACCAATTGATTATGATGACGCTCAAGGTCGATCAGCGAGCTATGGAGAGGGCTATGCTTAGAGTTTCTCTGCGTGATAGATTTAGGAATGAGTGGGCTGGCCATATAGCTCGAAGAACCGATAACTGATGGGGAAGAAAGGTTCTCGAGTGGCAGCATCGTACCGGTAGGCGTAGTGTAGGATGACCCCCCACTAGATGGAGTGACGACCTGGTAAGACATGCAGGAAGTCGATGGATGCAGGCAGCTGAGGACCGTGCCTTGTGGCATTACTTGAGGGAGGCCTATGTTCAGCAGTGAACTGTAATGATGATGATGATGATGATGAAAGACGTGTAGTGGATTTTGTAAAATTATTTAAATATTCAGCTCAATCTCAACATGATTTGGAATATCTCCTATTGGCGATGCAAAGATTATCCGCACGCCTCTAGTGGCGAAATTTAGAAGCTGTCTAAGGACGACACTTTGTTTGTTTATTTGTTGAGGTTATGTTTAGATTATTCAGATGGATCAGGATTATATACGGAAACCTGTAGCTAATAAAAGCAGAAATACGAAATATTGTTGCGTTCCTTAATGTAGTACTTACGGAGATACGGGAATAAGTTTTCATTTATTCCCAAAAGACAAAATTATGAAGAAAAAATGGAAGAATGCTTTAAGAATAGGCAAGCCAATTTCATCATCAATGAGAGTTTGTTCTCATCATTTTCAAGCTTCAGACTTTTTTCCAAACAGTAAGTATAATTGTGTTTTAATTATTTTATTGTACATAAATTATATTTATATGTATTTCCTATGTTATTCATTTAGTTTACGCTAACGGCGCCTCTACACGTTGGCCAACACAGTGGCGAATGTAGTGGCCAATAGCATTGGCCAACGTGTAGACGAGGTGTTTGGGCTTCATTGGTATGTATTGGGACGATGGCCCACAAGTTGGCGCGAGATCCGTGTGGTGTCGGTTTTTTACAAAAGATCAAAGGATTGTTGGCAGAGTTTGGTCGCCGCGTCCACACGTTGGCCGCGCGTTTAGTTTGCTACAAGCTCCCAGAGTGATTACACGCATCTGATTTAAATTTTATATTCAAGCTTTGTAGGATGGATTACCAGCCTTTTAGTGCCAATTTCAACTTTAAACATTCCTACTACTTTAGTTAGCGCGATTTAATTTTTTTTAAACATTTGTTTTAATCGATTAACTATTTATCAAAAAAATAACGAACATTTATTTACAATCAGATTATTGAGAGAACAATTTTAAAATGAAAAAAAATGAAGCACGTCGTTTATACGTGGTAGAACAAAAAGCAGTTATATTAGAAGTATAGTTGTAGCACGAATGGGTCGGCTCTACCGGTGAAGGACCACGCTCTCACAGAATATTAGCGTAAAATAGTAGCTTAATGATGCTGTGTTTCGTATAGTGAGTGTAGAGAACCAGAGACACTTTTTAAAGGAAACGAGGTATTTCATCTTAGTCCTCACGGGTGAGAACGCATATGCATTTTGATTCGTAATCGAGGATAGATGTAGATGTCTGTGGGCCACAGTAACCACTTACCATCAGGTGAACTGTGTGCTCGTTTGTCACCCTATCCTATAAAAAAAAACGTCGACTTCTTATAATTCAATCGTTCGAATCATCATCATCATTACAGCTCTTTACAAATCCACTACTGAACATCCTCCTCCACAGACTGCCGCAAAGCATGGTACTGAGCCACTTTCCTTGTCATGAGTTTTTCATTTATGTTCTAAGTTATAATTAGTACCTATTATTAAGTCAGTGTTAATTATATTTATTGCTATTGTTTTTGTCTTTCTCAAAAAATAATTAAATTACCAAATAAATTATAAGGTGTTTTTTATATACATCAAATGTCTGATAGAAATGCAAATACATATTTTGCTAAACTTTAAAATCAAAACCCAATTTTAAAACATAGACTAATCGATTATAACTCCTTTAACTTTAAAATAAGTTAAGTTCTTATTAATGGTATTTATTCCAGTTTATGATGCATGTAAAGAATAAATAAAGCTAATCGTATATCTATTTACAGCCCCATTAATATCCACTATTCTTTTATAATTATTTTATAAAAACGTAACCCCCACACTTGGATTTTCTCCTGTATCGCGGAGGCAGCTTGCAAACATAAATTGCACAAGGACACACATCCAGACCCCAAACAATTATTTTTAGGATATACAAATACATGTTCCGTGCGGGATTCAAACCCGCGGCCCCCGGCACAGCTACTCATTGCTAAGCCACTGCGCCACGGAGCCGTCGTTCGTCCGCACATTGGCCCGAACCGAAGTAAACTGAACGACCTTCCAACGTGTGGACGCCGTCACCAACTCTCGGCCAATATATTCGCCACTACATTCGCCACTGTATTGGCCAACGTGTAGAGGCGACATAAGGCGAGTTTCTCGTCAGATAACGAGATTATTTATTGTTCCAGATTCTAAAAGGCAGAAGTTGTTTCCTTATGTCGTACCGTCTCAGAATATTCCTAAAAGAAGCTCTGATAAAGAAGTACCATTAGCCAATAAAATCATTTGCTCGAGAAAACAGGGCTGATATTAGACACAGGAAAATAGTGGAATCAAGTAAAGAGCTTGGACTTGCTATTGAGAATGAAGAAACTAAATTTGAAGATGGATTTGAGGACAATAATATAACTGATAACAACAGTCATCTTCATGTCATGACTTCATCGACACAAGTCAATTTAGTGGATTACAGAAATTATCGTCCCCGAGAAGATTGGAGTATAGCTGACATTCTTTGTGACAAAGAACCTTTGGAAAAGTGCACTCAAATAAATTTTCTTCCTATGTGGGAAGAGGATAGATCAGCTTTAAAGCAATTAACCCTCTCAGATTTACTCAGTAGTGTTATGTATTTATTTACTTTTACGGGTATTCATTCAAAAGAACTTTTAGAAACATTGGTGACTTGTTTTAGTGAATTGGCCTTAGATGCTCCAACAAATAAGAAAATAAGAGACAGAGTTATTTTGACAATGGTAAAAATTAAACAAAATATGTCATTTAGAGCCATTGGTGTTTTGTTTGGTATAAACAGGCAGACATGTTCTAATTATTTTAATAATATGTGCCCCATGCTGAGTAGAGTACTCAAAGTTGTTATTCCTTGGCCTGATATCGAAATGATACGTAGCAACCTACCTAAATCATTCCAAAAATATAAAAATACAAGAATTATATTAGACTGTGCTGAAACTGTGATTGAAAAATGTAAATGTTTAAAATGTAGAATATTGACATACTCTCAATATAAAAAAACAATACAGCGAAGTTTAATATTGGAATAACTCCTTCTGGCCTTATAACTGAAATAAGTGCATCTTATGGTGGTCGAGCATCAAATAAACATATTGTAAATGAATCAGGAATCTTAAATAAATGCGAGTTTAATGATGGAGTGATGGTGGATAAAGGATACAGGATTGAATCCGAATGTAATGAAGTTAGTTAAGGATATTAATTGAATAGTTAGTACAAATAACATTTGATTAATTATGCAATGTATTTACATATTAATGTTCTTGTTACAGCGTCTGCTTCAGCTTGTCAGGCCTCCTTTCTTGAGTCAGAAAAAGCAGATGACCAAAGAAGATGCAATCCGCACTGCAGAGATTGCACGGGCAAGAGTGCATGTTGAGAGAGTGATACAGAGATTACGACAATATAAACTTCTATGTGGACCATTACCATGGTCACTGGCGCCTTATTTTGATGATATATTAATTATTATTGGTGGTCTTACAAATTTGGGTCCACCAATTATTCACATTGATAAATTTATGTAGTTATTGAAAATTATATTTAAAAGCGAAACAAGGGAAGCTTATGAATAGGAAGGTTATTGTAAGAGTGGCAATAAATTTTTACAGTGAATAAATAATTTAGTACACAGAGTTGTATTTATTTTTATTTAAATTCAGTCATAATTTGATCCATACTCGTTAACTATTCTAGGAAGAAATTTCTCAAAATAAACATTAACAAGACATACACAAATTTCCAAAATATGATTTTCATCAAATGAAACTCTTCTTACAGCTAAATCCTTTCCTATTTCAGAGTAAACTAAATAATCACATTCTGTAATACCTGACAATAACATACCTACTTGCATTTGAGTATAATGCTGAGTATTTTTTTTTTCAAATTTTGATTTTTATCCAATATAGGAATTGCATTCATTTCTATAAGTTCATCTGCAGTTAACGAGTTCCTTCCTTTAATGTCTTAATCTCAATATTTCTAAGAAAATTTCCATCTTTATCCATGGCAGTACCATCTAGACTTGCAAAAAGCCATGGTAATTCTGGTCGAACCAGCAATCCAGACTCTAAAATCATGCAGCTATAATGCTCTGCATATAAATCTCTTGCGACTGCTTCACAGCGAAGGCCTCTGATAGTATCTTCATTCCCAAGGAAATTACTGTGAAAAACCTCTTGATATCTTTTATCCCAATCAGCATTTTTATTAGAATAATAAGTAAACTGGGCTCTCGCTTTGGAGGCTGTTAGTCTTACTTTTCTAGCTTTATGCCAAGAAGGAGTACCCTGCTCAGCATTGATTATTTCTGTACTTTGGTCTAATGATACAGCTACGTATCTGTTGTAAAATTCAAATTCATTTACTTCACATGTCTTCAACTTTTCTTCAGTCAGTTTTCTTAATAAATTCATTACCCGCCACGAATTAAAAGTCAATAGTTTTTCAGAAAATTTTGTCTTGTCTACACTTCTACTAATTACCCTTTCACCATAATCAACAACTCCATCACGTCTTCGCATGAGACTTGTAAATAAAGAATATTCACTGTTTGGTGTGCCTGAAATAAACACATAATTTTTTTGAAACTTTATTTTAGTTTGTAACTGTACATTCAATCTGCAAATATAATATTTTTATCAAATTGATGTTTTCCAGTTAGGTGCCATATACTCTTATGCTTTACAAGTATTTACTCTGCATTAACTTCATTCTCCAACGACGTTCCATCTCTTCAGTGACTTCTGGCATTGTTTTCACATAGATGTCCCTCTGTCCTTTCACATGGCACATTTCAGACAATGATATTGCTTCGTATTTCTTCAATGCTGTAGTTTTAAGTGTACGCCATTGTTTTTCAATGTCGGTACAACTCAGGTCCTCCAGATCTGCCTCCTCAGTTCTGAAAAAGAGAAAAATAGCTAATCATTTACAATTATGGTCTAATTTTAGTACTTATATAGGTAAGTACTTTACATTATCTATTACCTGGCAGTAAAATTGTTACAGACAGACAGCCAGAGTAAATTAGGTACCTACTTTAACATTTATAGTATTCATAGTGCATATGGATGAGGTATGGACAAATGGATATAAAAGTTATTGATCAATTCACGAACCTTGAGAGATAAAGCATGACAGCTAATATGTGTTTACATTTCTCTGAAGATCCAGCAGGGCAATCGCAGACCTTTGTGACTTCTTGTTCATTATCACCAACTAATCTATTTCCTTGAGATACATCTATCCACAGTTTTATAATGGCTGGATGTTTGGAATTTAATCCCGACGTGCGCAGTACCAGTGCTTGTACGTGAATTATGTTATTATTTTTCTCTTTTTTTTCCAACCGAAATCACCATTCCACTCCGTAATAATTCTTCACCGGAACGCATTGGTTTTGTGTATCCTGCAGACGCATTAATTACATCGACTATTGACAACATAATAATTGTCTTAAACAGCAAAATGCCACATAAATCTTATTTGTATTTAATATTTATGTTTTTCCCTGACGTTAACTGTTACGAAAACTGTCAAAGCGTAGACAGAGGGTATGTTCCGAAATACAACGCAGTGTACTGTCCAATGCAAATGACGTCATGAATGGACGCTATACTGGTGATTCGTTCCAAAACATTGGACAGTATATGACGTCATACTTTTGCGCCATTTGGAAAAGTGTTGGCGATTATTTTGTCATTTTGTGCTCCAAAAACCATTATATCCTCCTAAGGGATATACCATCAATTATTCTATAATTTTTTGTATTTGAATAAATAGAAACAAATTCTGGCATGCTTCATTCGGCAAACACGCAATTAAACATTGTTTTATTATGGCCGGATATCCGACACAATATGGCGGCGGCACGCTAGTACATTAAAGTGTCAAATGATACGTCATTTGCATTGGACAGTACACTGCGTTGTATTTCGGAACATACCCAGAGAATGTCAAAGTGTCGTTCTTAGACAGATTCACAATTTTGACACTAGAGGCGCTAGTTAAAATCTTTGCATCGTAGACAGAGAAACCTATAGACTAATGATCGGCGTGGCCTCGAGTGAGAAAGAACGATAACAAATTTTTAGGTTATAGAATTAATCTTTGTGACTTTTAAATACATTTAGATAAAAATTTTAATTGTTCTAAGAACTGAACTGAACAAGATTCACCAATCTTAAGCTCACAAAACACTTTTTTCTCACTTAAACCAACTTGTAAACTCCTTAAATCGCTACGCTGTCAAAGTTGTTTAGCAAACTGTAGAGTTTGCTAAACAAAAAAAACCGGCACGGAGAAAGGGACAAACAATCACACCGCTCTATCTCATTTCTATGCAAGACGTATGCATAAATCTATCTTTTTCGTGTGCGAATGCGAAAGAAGGCGTCAATTTGTCTATAGGTTTCTCTGTCTACGCTTTGCATCGTCAATAGAGATATTCTCCTGTTCTCTAACATCCATGGTCTGTTGTAACAAGCTAGCATAGAGTAGTTTTGGCGGGAACTTGTTCGTAGACGGATTGTCGCTCCCGTTTTATCGCTTGAATAATAGTTTGAAGTGGATTTTGATTCGTAAAATTTATGCGATTTTGTGATTTAAGTGTCCGCGCGTGTGAACTATTAGAGAAAACGACGAAACAAGTGCTTTGATGTCGATGTAAACCTCAAGTTATTTTGATCGCTTGGGTGCCTCATGAACTTGAGTGGCCGTGGTCGTCATCAACTGTCCGCTAGGTTGAGCTGTCGTCAAAATCTCACAAGAGCTTCGCAATGTGACGCATCAGCATACTGTGAAGAAAAAGAATATAAAAATGAAGATTCCCAAAGAAATGATATGCTCAGAGGAGCTAGAACCCAGACCCGTAAAGCAATAAAAAAAAGCTAGCATAGATAGACCACAGACTATACCTAGTACACAGTAATCTATGGACCAAGGAACATACTACTCTCTAACGAGAGCTATGGACTATACCATTCCGTCATAGATTACTGTATATATAATACTAGAGACATTCCGTTCAGTGTTGCCACCTTAGTGGATTTTCCACTAAATCTGGTGGTTTGGAACCCCCTTTTAGTGGCAAATTTTTGCTTTTAGTGGCTAGTGGTTTTTTTAGCGGATTAGGAATTTTATAATAAATTATAAGAAACGAGTCGTTTCATATAAATAGTCGTTTCAAACGTCTATTTAGCCATATTTTATACTTTCAAATATAAACCTATATATTTTTAGGAGTATATTTTACTACGCAGGCAACACCAATCCACGCATTCACGGGGGTTCCCCGTTAAATATATTTAGTATAAGGCAACTAATATAAAACGATGGAATGCAAGGGCGAGATCTATCTGTATCTCGCTCTCCGGAATACTAAATAGTTGAGAGGGATATAATTTCCGCTTTCTATTCTATTTGACAGCATTTTACAATACTTAGTCCAATGTTTTTGAACTCGGTCACGCACGATCACTCGGATTCAGTGCCTCAATGTGCGTTGTTGTTTGTTTTTGTTTCGTTTTGCGATTACACATTTTTAAATAAAAATATTATTCATACGACGTCACGCCGAAACCTCAATATTCCCAAAAATTTAGGGATTCTTGGCTTCAAGATCCCGATTTAAAAGAATGGCTTCAAGCAGTTGAAAGTACCACTGGCCAAGTAGCAAAATGCAAGTTTTGTGGAACGATATTAAGAAGTCACTACGGAGATTTAAAAACACATGCTCTTTCGAAAAAGCACCAACAAAATAGAAAGGTAAATTATAGCTTTGTCTTTGTTATTTATAACGGTTCGAACTTGGTCAATTAATGAGGTTGCATTTAAATTTTTCTTATATATTTCATTATTTGTTTATAGGTTATCACCAAACAACCTAAGCTGACATTCAAAAAGGAGTCTACTGATAATAAAAAAGAAAGATGAAGCCAGAGTTGCCTTATTTACAGCAATGCATACAAGTATACGAACAGTTGATCATTTAGGAGAAGTTATTAACCATAGCCATGAAAAAGAAATAAATAAAATGCAGATGCACCGAACTAAGTGCACGTATGTAATAAAAAATATTTTAGCATCTCATTTTACAGAACTTATAAAAAACGACATTAAAGATCAACCATACAGTTTATTAATAGATGAATCCACAGATATTGCTGTACAAAAATATTTGGGTTTAGTTATAATTTATTACAGCACTACACATGAAAAAATAGTTTCAACTTATTTGGACCTTGCTGAACTCGACGCATGTAATGCTGAAGGTATTGTTTCTGCCATAAAGCGGACGCTTAAAGATTTCGACTTTCGAATTGAAAACTTAATGGGTATTGGCACAGATAATGCTTCGGTGATGGTTGGCGTAAATAATGGAGTTTTTTCCCGATTGAAACAAGAAATACCGCACTTAGTTTTGGTACGTTGTTTATGCCACTCCTTGCAACTGGCTGTTTCAGCAGCAGCAAAGGAATTTCTTCCGCGAAATCTTGAATTTTTAATTAGAGAGACATATGATTGGTTTGCTCGCTCGTCTTCCAGACAAGTTATCTATAAAGAGCTATACAAATCCATCAACGATGGACAGAAGCCTCTTAAAATTGTTCAAGCCTGTCAGACTAGATGGTTATCCATAGAGTCTGCTGTGTCGAGAATTTATACGCAATGGCTGGAGCTTAAAACTCATTTTTCGATTGCTAAGTTGCATGAAAGGTGCCACACGTCAGAGCTATTGCACTCTATGTATGCGAATGATATAAACTATGCATATGTATCATTTATTTATCCAATTTTGATTGATATAAACAGAGTTAATAAAATGTTTGAGTCAAAAAATACGGACCACACCTTATTGTGCGGTGAATTAACAAACTTGATTGATACGCTTGTCACCAAAGTAACGTTGCCTACACATAAGATAGATATCTTTACTCAAAATATTCGTGACTATTTGGACCAAAGATGCTACCTGGGATTCCGATTCGAAAAACATATTCAAGAAATGAAAGAGAAAGGTTTTCCCCGGGAAGAGGAAGAAGTATTGCGGAATAGGTGCATACAGTTTATAGTTTGTCTCATTGACGAAATAAAAAACAGATTGCCGGAAAATATTACTCTCATGAAACAAATATCCCGTATAAGTGTCGAAAAAGCCCTGCATCACAACAAAGAAAATCTTGTTGATATAATGGCTCGGTTCGTAACAAGTACAGAATTAATTGCAAAAATTGACGATCAATGGCAGCAAATTCATTTACTGAGATGGAATGAAACAAAAGATACAAAAAAAATTTTTGGAGCGAAGTCTTGAAATTCAAAGATGCACAAGGTGTTGCTCGATTTCAAGAATTAGCAACATTTGCGATTACACTTTTGGTATTGCCACATTCGAATGCCGATGTGGAAAGACTTTTTAGTAGCATGAATATTATAAAAAACAAGCAGCGAAACAGAATGAAGCTAACTCTTTTGAAATCAATTCTAAAAATACGCTGCGGTATGCAGTTAATGGGAAAGTGCTGCAACAATTATGAAATTCCTTTAAATCTTATAAAACAAATTGGGACGAAGGAGTCATATCAGTCCGATAAGGATAACAGTAAGGCTGAAAATGAAAATGCAGATTCATCTGAAGACGATTTATTAATGTAAATAATATCTTAAGCAACTTTATTTTTTTTAATTACTAAAAGTAAAAAAAATTATATTAACAACAATGAGATTTTTAATAATAAACGTACTTTTACTTTTTTTTGCTTTAATCATATTCATATATCTTAGTGGAAATTTTAGTGGTTTTCAGAGGGGGACATCTTTTTGTTAGTGATTTTCTGGTGGTTTGAGGAGCCTTGTCTGGCGGATTGCAATTTCATCCGTTGGCAACACTGATTCAGTTCTTGCTACATATTTATTTATCTATGATTCCGTTCCCGTCAGGGTAAATATATTCTGTGATTCCGTTTTCGTTTCTTAAGGAATTATTAATTTGTACGCGTTCTGTTGAGTGAAATTTAGTTTTACTTGTGTACGTTAACCAACAAACAATGGATAAAAATAACACATTAGTAAAGTTATATACTGCTTATAAAAGGTGGGTTATCAATAATCCCGGAATTGTTACTGATGTTGAGACAGTTGCGACTTGGTCGTCATACTTTGTTGCAGGAAAAATAAACAAATCACCGATTGTGTCAGAGCTGGTATATTCAATTTCAAAGCTTGTTTCGTTGTTTAACGATCGGTTGATAAAAGACGCCTATGACAGTGAAATTCCTTACTATGGACTAAGAGAACAGGTTAAGCTTTGTTTAACAGTTATTCACTACTGTGAGGTATTTATAGAGCTGTTTGTTAAAAACAAATGGGGTAGCCGCGGTAAATGGACGACAGCTACATTGCTACAAGTTTTTAAATGCTCGTCTGCCTTAATTCTTTTATACCGATTTAAAGAACTACCCATACAACACCCGCCAATACTTGCTTTGCAAAGGAAAAAGTTTATGGAAGGCAATGATACCAATGAAAATACAAATGCCTTTTTCACTCTTAGAAGGTCTGGTCGTATTATTCGACGAATCGATGGTGCCCCACCTGTTGCATTACGTGATTGGCAACCTGTTAAAATCAAAGAAGATAAAATGAACACAAACTGTGAGATAAATGACATAGTCCATGCTGAGTTAATACACATTCTGAAACCATTGATACACCTTGTGGCTATGAGAGTATTTGGTACTAAGGCATGGAAGCAATGGCTTATTGCTTTAGGTCTAGATTTAGCAAGCTTGAAACTATATAATCGTCACATTAAGGAGTTGTCTTATGAACAAAGATTGGAAATCAGTCGTAGGAAATTATGTCTTATACTTTATTTGTTGAGAAGTCCTATGTATAATGGTTATTCTAAAAATGTGATTGAAAATGTTCTTATTTCTGCATCAAATAAAATATCCCTAATTTCATTTATCTGCAATCCTATAATCCAGTATTTAAGTCATTGGCAAGATATTTATTTTTACATGTGGGCATCATAAAGTGTTTAACTAATTTGTAATTTGAAATTAACCAAAAAATTTTTATATGACCAACATTTTTTTTATTGGGTGAGGTTAGGATAAAGATATTATTATATTGCTGTATTTGTTAAGAGAGATATCTTTCTTATTTTATAGAATTTGCACTTAACCTTGTTATTGTATCTCCACTGGTATGCCATAATATTTATTTTACAAAATGTTAGAGGTAGGATACCAGGACTACAACTTCAAACCTTAATTTTCATTAGAAGTGTTTTTAAAGAAAGCATTTCCTTTCTTTATATTGTGTGTATGAATTGGTAATCAATATTTATAGGTATTTTTTTAATAGAAATATTGCCTAAATACTTGTAAGGCTGCCTAATGTTATGATGCTTTTATGTCTCATGCTGTCTCTCTCTATTACTTTGTGACTGTGATACAACCAGAATTAATGAAATCTTAAAATTGAGTAGCATTTGAGTATTTGGCCATGAGATTGACAAACATGCAAATAGACCTTCTGATGGTAAAGTAATCTAAGTCTATTTTTAATTTAGAATAAAAATGCAGATAACTTAAATGAAATGTCTCATCACCAGGAAAAAGAATCATTAGCTTGAAACATACCATATGAAATGAGACGTTATGCTATTATTATTATATTATTTCACACTGATATTCTGGGCTAGCATGATCCTTTTATATCTAAGATGATTCATGATGTAGATGATGCCATTCATGCTGTAGCATGATTTTATAATTTAGAAAAGGCCATTAATTTCTATGGTATTTAGTAACTATATATAAATTATACTATATATGAAGAGTGTAGAAGCCAAGTGATCAAAGTGACATTTTATAAGATTTGAGATATCAAGTAAAACACTTTTTCGCCTATCACATCCATATTTTAATGCATTTTTGTAATTTTTTGACTTCATATTTTAAAAATCCTAATTTTATTTATTACCTTTTTTTTTCAACAATATGTATTTTCGGACCATTTTGCACTTGGATCTCTTGTCATATAGCCGTGAAAGAAAAATTAAAACACAGGTGATCCAAAAAGTTACATTCCTAAATAGCTAAAATTTCAGGACATTTGAAAAAAAAATTAATAAAATTTCAAAAATAGCTGTGAGGTTTATAAGGGCCATCATAACCTTGCATGTGGTTCAAGCTACCCCCTCTTACCCTATGGGAGTGTATTACTAATAAGAAATAGAAATGGTATTGAAAGTGAATGCTAGTAAGACAAGTTATGGTTTTAGAAACAGAAGAAAATAAAACAATAGGTGAAATAAGAATAAAAAGGGAGTTGGCTGAGCAAGTAGATGTGTTTGTATATTTGGGATGTGTATTTAGCAGGGATGGGAAATATAAGAAGGTTATAGGACGATGAGTGAACTCAATAAATAAGAGTAAATGGGCTCTACACTCTATAGTGGAAAGTCAGAATGTGTTAAAAAAGGCTCGTATGGCAATTCAGAATGCTCTGTTAGTTCCTTTAACATATGGTAGTGAAAGTTGTATATGGCAGAAGAAGCACGAGAAATACACATAGAAAAAACATGATCTTTAAGGATTGTGTTAGGGCAGAATCTGGGTGACAGGGTGAGAAATTGTGTGATAAAGGAAAAGTGTGGTTTACAAGATGATGTTGTGACCAGGATTAAGAAAGAAATGCTTTGGTGGTTTGGTCATGTAGAAAGAATAAATGAGGAAAGAGTGAAAAAGCTAATTTATGTTGCAGAAGTGAACAGCAGAGCCTGATAGGGATGTCCTAAGCCTAGGAAAGTCTATCTACTAAATTGGCGATATATTGAAAATGAGCCACATTAAGAGTACCCTTAACTGACAGGCATGTATTGAAAGATGTGGAGGTGTGTCAGGATCATGTCAAATGGAAGTCATCTCTAAAACTTAGCTCTGCAGCATATTCTGTAAGAAAGATTAGAAGGCTCACCAATGTTGGGACAGCTATATCAGTTTATTTTAGTTACTTTCATAGCATAATGTGTTACTGAATCTCGCTATGAGGTAATGCAACGGACATTGAAGTCATATTTCTTTTGCAAAAGAAAGCCATGTGGGTGATTTATAACTTACATTGTAAATTCTCTTAATGAAAAATTTTAAGAAATAAATATTAACTTTGGCATTGCAATATATTTATGAAAATGTAATGTATACATAAAAACACTTTTCATAAGAATAAAGATATTCATACTTTAAACACTGGGAACAAACATAAGCTATATTGTATAATACAATTTACTATACTCCACAAAACTAGTAGGTAGTAAGTAAATGAATTATTTATGAGGCCAATGTATAGGCTTTTACAATAAAATCCCAGAAAATTAACAAAATTTGTCAATAAACAAATAAATTGTGGGGGAGACCACACTCTCACACAATACCAGTGTAAAATAGTAGCTTAATGATGCTGTTTCGTATGGTGAGTCTAGAGAACCGGAGGCCCTGTTTACCGGTAATGAGGAATTCCATCTTAGTCCACAAGGGTGACAATGCATCTGCATTTTGATTTGTAATCGAGGATAAATGTAGATGTCTATGGACCGCAGCAACCACTTACCATCAGGAGAACTGTGTGTTCGTTTGTCACCCTATCGTATAAAATAAAAAAATAAAGAAAATAAAAATATAAACAAGTTTAAATGTTTTATTAAAGAAAAATTGTGCAAAAGGCTTATTATAATATCAAAAAATACATAAACGAAAATAACCCCCGGGAATCGCCACCAAGGTGATCGCCACCATGCTAGTTCTATAAAAAATTGTACAAAATGCATTCAAAATATTGTACAAAATAAATTATTGTAAAGTGAAATATGTTTAAAAAACTCTCGCTGGGTTTCTTGCTGGTTTTCCCAGGACAGAGGTTTTTTTCCGAACCAGTGGTAAATAAAAATGATTTTTATGCAATAATCTATAATGAATAAAATCAGTAATTTGATTTCTGCCTACCCTTCGGGGTAACTTGGATCAGTTGTGCATCAAAGTTTTCTCACAAATCTTTTATGAACAAATAGCCCAAGTAGGTACTAATGTTGTTTTAACAAGTTACAATGCAGTTAGAATTTTGAAGATAGATGTTGTTTTCCAAAAAGCAAAAATGCACATATCTCAATTTTGGCCAAAATGTCACTTGGATCACTTGGCTTTTACGCTATCCATATCATATATAATTGATACATCACTCTCGTAAAGATTTTCTTTTGAACAAACTAAGTTTATGCATTTAACTTATTTTTAACCCCTGATGTTG